CCCCCCCCCCTCAAAATGTTTACCCAAACAGCCCAGACATAAGGAATGTCTCAAGTATTATTTACAAAGGAGGAGGAAGTGAATACTTGATGGTCAGTGCTCATCTGCAATAAAAATGTTTGGCTCCTGCTTTTGGGGTTGATAACAATAATAATTGAGATCAAACCAAGCTGCTCTGTGAGAAAAACAAATTGTTGCACCCCTCCTGCGCTATGTTATTTTCAGCTTGTTTTTCAGGAATCTTTTCTTTTTCTGACTGTAGCCGTTTACCCGAACATAATTGTTGCCCTGTCCTCCAAATTCCTTTTCCCGTCTGGGCTTAGATAAAAATGAGAAACAAACAGTGTGTCATCACTATTGTCAGTGGTAAACATGCTTATTTCCATTTGACCTCCATCTGAAATGAAACTAAAGGAAAGGTAGTCTGGGTGGAACTGCATGAGGACAAATTCATATGGACAGAAGCACTGTATCAAGGGAGTTTTGCTTTTGGTGACTGCTCTGCTTTTTCTTTTTCTGACTGTAGATTTACAGGGGCTTAACTTTGTTTTGCCAGGACAGAGGTAATCTGGGGCGCTATCCTTGTGTTTAAGCTTTGTTGTGAGCATAAAATGTACTTTGTTTAAAAAAAAAAAGATGTATGATTATAAGAGACAGGAATGTGGAAAAGTATGTTTTATTCCTCTATCATCACAATTAGTAATTTGCATGTTTAACAAGTCTATTTCCACAATTAATGCTCTTTAATTAGTATGGGATCTTTCAACAATATCTATAAATTCAAAGTTAGTGTCAAATGTCTTAACATTGAATTTGCGGTGAGAATAGATACTGTTCTATATAGTGCTGTTTAGCTGTATAGATGTATAGTAACTGGAAGAAAAGATTTGTTGCACAAATGATCTGGAATTGAAACCATCTGTGAACATACTGAGGATCTGTTCATTGCCCAGTGAGACATGAGACATGATAAATGCTGCATTTTGACATATGGAGGCGCCAAACACAAAGTTGCAGATTATTAGAAGGTACAAGGTCAAGGCGATTTCCAAGTATAGAAAGAATTGAGTTGCAGTTTAGAAAACTCTGAATGCTGTTTGATTAAGAAACTTTATTTTTGGATCCACATTTCATATTAAATAAAATAAAAGAGTGATATATATATATATTAGTAGACATTCATACCTAGGCTAACTTAAAATTTTTTAATTTAATACTTCACACTTTTATAGGTTACTGAATTTAGAGTTTGCAGATCATTTTAAGTTAACTCAATTCAACTGAATGGACATTTGCTGAACAATTTAAATGCATAAATCTAAAAACAGACTGAAATATTTTGAGTGTGTTTAGAAACACATTATTAATATAGCCTTAGGAGCCTTGGGTCCATCTTTTATAAAAGTTATTGCTATTCTCGGGCAGTAATGTTGAACAGTGATGACTCTGCCTCATCACGAACGAATGAATGGATTGTAACTGTAAAGCCGTTCCGTCTCTATGAATGAAATTCTACATCAGATTTTACTTTTAGCTGACAAGACTATGTCATTGGCAAAATATGTGCACTTCTAAAATGTGGAGCTGGGTAATATTTTGAATATAGAGAATTGATTACAAATCGGTATCGTTGTAGCTGAAAATGGGGTAGATATGAAGGTTATAAAAAACCCATGCATTAGTTTTAAAACCTCTATCAATTCATTCCATGTAACAGCTCCATGTGCCAGAGACCATGTGCTATAACTTCCAGCGTTAATTAAATTGGAATAGCAGTGAGTGGCGTACTAAAATAAGTGCTGTAATTATCTTATCTGAACACACACATTAAATTCGTTTTACTCACAGACTGTGTTCAATCTGGCGTTTATGAAACTCGGAATGCATCTTAAAGGGCCAGTGCACTTGGATTTAACAATATTCAATCCATTTTCTAGGAAATTATTAACATGGTACCGTTAACACGTCCTGAGTAGCTAACACAGCCAATATTATGTACCCTTTTCTTGTTTCTTGTGGTATTTTTTGTTGTGGTGACTATTTTATTTATTTATACCTGCCTCTCATATAGTTTCCCAACTAAAGATTAGGCCTATACTCCCTTGCATAGCCTGTTTTAATTTCATAATACATTTCTTTTTTTTTTTTTGTAATGCATACAGTCACATATTTTGTCCCTTTACTTTAGTAATTTATGGAGACAGCATAGCAGTGAGAATAGCTTTAATATGAAAAAATGATAAAAATATAAACATGTCAAGTCAATTAAAGTCACATCACATATTTATATACCTAGCATTTCATACAGTAGATTGTTTCAAAGCAGCTACATAGTAATAAAAAAAAAATTGCAAAGTGTTATGTTATAAAATGTTGAAAACAACAATTTTGAAGTGCAGTTATAAAAAGACAAGTGTTATTATTCAGCTATAATAATACTATTTTTTATTAAATATAATTATTTTGATAAAAATATGACAAAAATTGTTTTAAATGTAGCTATTAAAATGCATCTATCTATCTATATCTATCTATCTCAAACTTTTTTTCTATAGTTGTCGGTTTTTGCAATTGATGACGATTCCACTGCATATTGTATTTCTGTAACTTATGACTATTCGTTTATTAATATAAGCTAAAGATGAAATTACATAATTAGTCTTCAAATAAACATTATGGCAGACCTGGTATTAGCATATATTTATGTAGCCTAAACAAGTGTATGACTCATTGTTACAAATAGCCTACACTTTCGTTAAAACAACAACAACAACAACAACCAAAACAAATTCCTGTCACCTTGACGTTTGAGATCAAATGGTCTGCAGGCGCCTGCATGGTTGGTCCAGTGTTCCAGTCCATGTTTTGGCATTCTCTCATGCCTGGCGTGTTTCTCTGCGAGAGAAGCCGAGTCTTGTTTACAGCGGTGATTCTACTGAGCGGAGACCGTCAGAAGAGTCGCTGAGGAGTCCGAACGCCGCCGTGGAGACTCGAGAATCAAACACTAGCCTCTCAAGCTATTTATACCAAGCAAGCAGTTCGTGATTTTTTACGTTGCGGAAAACCAAAAACCCACGCTCCGGAGCTGCTCACTCTTGCACCTCGATAAAATGTGTTTTCTTTTCCTACCGCAAAACCGACCGACCGTGAGAGCGCGTGAAGACGGTAGGGGAGGGTGAGCAGTTGGTGAAACCATTTTTGTCCTGGCGGATATTTTGGATCGAGCGCTGTCGGGAGGCTTTCATTCATACAGAAATACGCTATCTGAGTCGTCAAGCTCTTTGAACGTGACCTCAAAATTCCTCCGTACATCAGTATAGCGTAATTCATCACACTGGCATAGGCACATTCGCATAAGGTGGTTTTGTTGGAGGAGAAACCGCTCGTTTCGCTGGCTGTGCTGCGCGTCCTGTCGGGTTTTCAAGAAATGGAGGCAGAAGATGCAGATTATCGGTTGAGTGAAATTCGTGGCTCTGACACGATTAAATCACTTAATTGCTGGCGAGAATAACAGAATGTTTTAATTGATCTTAATGTTTCCATTAAAGGAAAATTCTACAATTAATACCAGACATTTTTATCTACTCGACCCTCCCCTCGCCTCCCGTTATCTTACCGGGTAAAGGAACTATCTGCTCATCCAAAGCGGATTCTTCTGGACTTTTTGCTTGCTTACAAGAAGCGACGTCGCGTTTTGCTGCGGTTTCAGCTTTTTTATTTTTTGGAAAACTGATTTTTAGGAATGAGATCTGGAACAGCGAGGGATGTTTGGACCTTATTTTGGGGTCCTGTGCTGTTTCTTTCCACCATCTGCCCGTGGTCTGCGCATGGAGAAGGTAAATCAGGATTGTTTTTATTCTAATAAGAAAATTAGTACTACATAAATCGATATTTACGTGTAGGCTTGTATTATCAAAACCTTGATTCAACCGTTTCGGTCTCCTCACGGTGTTTATGGACAGGTGTGAGTTTACCTGCATGCGTCGATTTAGATGTTCAGGTATAGATATTCAAAAGGACCCAGTAACACACGACCCAGTTTATTAGTAAATTATGACCTACTACTACTACCATTACATTTTAAAATTTCCCCTCAGGCTAACACTAAACTTCAGATTTTTTTCGTCCTGAGTTCTCTAGGCCCATCAGTTAGCCTAATTGTCGTGACATCGGATGTGTTGTGAGTCTAGTGTGCTTTATGAATTATTCATTAGCTGGATCACGTTAGTATTTAGAAGCTACGTGAGAATTGGCTTATATAAAGCATTTGCCCATAGATTATGCATATTTAGGCAATAAGGTTAAACGTTACTCGGTCATAGTAAGATTAGCTGATTTCAGTGAGGCTCAGTCGAGCATCACGCAGTGAAGTAAAGGTGACTGTACACTGACCACGTGCTTGTTTCACGTTTCACAAAGTCCTCAGGAGGGTTTCTAACACATTTAGTTTAGGTGTCGTTAATTGTGTGTTAAGTTTATTATAATATTTGTTTTATATATAATGTTTACATATTTGTTACAGATTAGTTATAGTAGTTATAGTAAACTAAATAGTTAATTTGAACTGTTTAAATTCATTTTAAGTTCTGAAAGAACTGCTTATAGAATATAATGAATTTGTTTAAAATAATTTATTTGCCATCCCCCATAATGTTATCAATTTTAATTTAACATCGTAGACATATGAAACATTTGAATTTAAAGGGATAAAAAAGTAACTGGAAATTAAATTGGTTGAAATATGTAAACTTAGTCTACTATTTGTGTGTGTGTGTGTGTGTGTATATATATATATAAGTGAAACATAAAATAGCTTATATTTTGTGCAATCTTTTTGCGACCAGTAGAAGTACATTGGAAAGTCTGGTCAGACTTTATATTTTGTAGATTTTTTAAAAGCATGTAGATGTGAATATTTTATATAAAATAATACAGGAGAGCCTGCTGATTTATAATTTAGTATCCATTAACATGTTCAATTCTAAAGCCAGAAATGTTTACTTTCCTACCTCTGTACCTCAAGGTTTTGTCTTTGAGATTGTGCTAGAGAATTGATAAGGCTTAAAGGGACAGTTCACCCAAAAATGATCATTCTCTTATCATTTACTCACCCTGTATGGCTTTCTGTCTTCCGTGGATCACAAAAAAGGGAGATGTAAAGCAGAATGATGGCCTCAGTCACCAGCCATAAGTAAGAAAGGAGTATGATGACAATGTTATTCCTGCTGCCAATTTTCATGTCTCTTCATAGTTTTTAAACATCTTGTGCTTGTAGGTTGATGTATTTGTAATGTTTTTGCAGCTTTAGTGTCATCAAATGCCTAATTGTGATTGTGTGGGGGCTGCACTGTGGCATCATGAAGGTGGGCCATTCTTTGGTTTAAACTCTCATTTACATTCAAAGGAGTTAGGACGCAATTCAAGGCCATTGACCGGAGTGGCCAGTCCCACATTCAGGCCACTGTGAATGTCAGGGGGGTCTGTTTCTCAGCACCCTGCAGAGACCAGCAGCACTGGCCCTATAGAGAGAGGGGGTAAGCTCTCACTCATGGACTCCATCACTGCATTGTCCCGTGTGTCTCTGTCTCATAAAGTGTTGCAAAGACACTCCACTGACATACTGACCTCAATCAGCACAAAACCAGTTTCATATCTCTCTACTCTTGGGTTTGGGTCTATTTGTCCAGTTTGATGTGGTACTTTCTGACTTTAAAGGGTCGATTAGAAATGAACAGTTTGGTTTAGGCGGAGTATGATTTTATTAAAGGGTTACTCCACCCCAAAATGAATATTGTCATTAATCACTTGCCCCATATCGTTCCAAACCCATAAAAGCTTTGTTTGTCTTTGGAGCACAATTTAAGATATTTTGGATGAAAACCGGGAGGCTTGTGACTGTCCCATTGACTGCCAAGTAAATTACACGGTCAAGGCCCAGAAAAGTATGAAAGACATCGTCAAAATAGTCCATCTGCCATCAGTGGTTCAATCTGAATTTTATGAAGCTACGAGAATACTTTTTGTACGCAAAGAATATAATGTGGTACATCTTAAAGGGGTCATATGATGCTGCTATCTTTGGATTTAAGACTTTAGTCTTTGCAACTTTACAGATCTTCTTTATGCACCAAGAGCTTGTAACACTCCAAAGAGAAAGGAAAAATTGAAATCGCATCATATGACACCTTTAAAGTACATCTTGAGTGAGTCATTTAATCATTAATTCATAAATTACATGTGATTTTGTTTAGTTGTCTAAAGTTTTTTTTTCTTCAGAATCATGAGAGAACCACAACTTCCATTGGAGAAAAAAAACAAAACAAAACAAAATTTATTCAGAATCATGCAGTTCTATTTTGCACACAGACAGCTCTTAAAGAGTCCAGTTATGTAGCCTGTTGATTTTTGTTCATGGTTTTGAGCTCCAATAAATGGTTTGCAAAAAAGAGACATGGGATAAATGTTTGATATCATCATTTAATCACATTGTAATCGAAACGAATCGGAATCGATAAGCAGAATCGGAATTGATAAAATATCGATAAGCAGAATCGGAAATGATCAAATTCAAACGATACACAACCCTAATTAAACCAGTTTTTTTAGGCAAGGACCAGGGTGTCATGTAGGCTAAAAAAAATATTGTTTAATGGTACTGAATTTGTATTTAACGTGATTACAATTGAATAAAAACGTTAGAAATTGATAATTATATAATGTTTCCTTTCCACGGTTATTCAAACTGCGAATAAATTATATATAGGCTAGAAAGTGACATATCACTAACATTGATCTATCGCGAGTTTAAAGGGGTGGTTCATTGCGATTTCACTTTTTTAACGTTAGTGTGTAATGTTGCTGTTTGAGCATAAACAATATCTGCAAAGTTACGAAGCTGAAAGCTCAATGCAAACGGAGATATCGTCTTTTAAAATTCTGGCAGTTTAATGCCTAAAAATGGCTGGTAGGGACTACAAGAAGTTACTTCCCGGGTTCGTGACATCACAAACCCAGATAAACCCGCCCTCGGGAAAGGCAGCAAAGGGGGTGAGGCCATGCTGCGCTGCTTTAGAGAAGAGAAAGAGAAAACTAGAGGTGCACGTAAAAATTTATTCATATGAATCGCGATTCTGTCTTCTAACGATTCTAATGGATTCACAAGTTTCAAAAT